TATATATATATATTTATATTTATATATAAATATAAATATATATATATAAATTTATATTTATATATATATATATAAATATATATTTATATATTTATATATATATATATATATATATATATATATAAAGGCGTTTTAATCCCTTCCCACACTATTGCAATATTCTAAACAATGTTTCTAAACTCTAAACGCTCTCAAAGAGCACAGAATGTCATGGTTTCCCTCTCTCTACCTCTGCTGCTCTCAGTGACCAGCAAATGTTTTTGGCCACGCCCACTTTTCCTCTCTGCACAGAGAACAGCTGATCAGCTGCAGCAGAAAGCTTATCCTGCAGTGTGGGCTGCACAGAGGTGCTGAATAATTTCAAATAATTTATTTTAAATAAAATTTCCATGCCGATCATGCGGCTCATCTATCAATCAGCCAATTGTGGATCATGTCCAATCTTATTTTGAAAAACCGTGATAGAGCGAGTCTTCGATAAACGAACCGCAAAGTAGCGAGGGACTACTGTAGTGGAATATTGAAATTTTAATGACTCGATAAAAATGAGTTAAAAGTTTTAACACAAATTAAAACAAAAATCACATAAAGAAATATTTCAATTCAACAAAACATTTAAAGTGTTTTTAAGATGCTTAAAAATCTGCCTGTAAGTCCTCAACAAAAATAACTTAACTTGCTTTGGAAAATAAAAATCCTTGTGTTGTTTGTGAGAGTAAAGAAATATATGTTCTTTTTGTAAAATAAAAGTGATTTGCAAAACAAATTTAAATATTATATTTCATAGTTGATACATAATGAACTGAATTGAATTGAATAATGCCAATACAGCAGTGGTGTAGTCTACATTTTTGTTGTGGGTATACTGTGCTTAGAAGTCAAAGTAAAGGTTAGTACAATGTAATTGTCAATTTGTTTTGGTTTTTAAGCATATTGAACGTTTCCAAAATTCTCTGATGCTTATATTTGAATAAATGAACAAAAAACGTTGTACAAAAGTTGGCTTCGTATTAAAAACATTATAGAATTTATAAAACAGCATCAAAGCAAAGCGCTGCATACAGATAAATTGTTACAGAAGCATTTAACTGCCGTTTAACGTATCAATGACATATGCCTAATGATATGTCATGTATCATTGGGCACTTTGGGTATACTGAAATTCTTAATCTTTTATAGTGGGTATACTCCGCATACCTGAGTATCATGTAGACTACACCACTGCAATACAGTAATGTAAGAAAAAAAAAGATTTTGTGTTAAATGTCATAATTTCTTGATTAATCTGCACACTCACAACTATTTTGGACCTATTACATGCTACTATGTGTAATAGAGAGCCCACAAAATTTTTAATACACAACTTAAATCCTCACCAAGTCCTTGCAAAGACCACTCATGTTCTGGCTGATTTATTTTACACCCTAGCAAGGTCATCATCCTGTATAACTGGGGGCTTAGTAATAGCCTTTGATGAATCTGATACACCGAGCTTCTAAGCTTCTAAACCTATTCTTTTAGGACAATACAGAATTGTCCATCTGAAAGCAGTCACACATTAGCCCAACAGCATCAGCATAGCCGACAGATCTGGCTGCTAAATGCAACATGTAACACTCCTATCTGACAAAGATGTCTATCTGCATAATCCATTTTATAGAATGGATGTATTGGTTTGCCTATTGAACGTGAGAGTGTGATTTTAAGGCTGTATGTGACATCCTCTCAGTTTGAAGGCATAACAAACACTGCTCATGTAGCCTTTAATCTAAGAGGACAGCAGAACATCATGGGCAGCGCATGACTGCAGAATGGACTGGGAGGTGCAGCTGTGCAGGTAACAGCTGGCAACCTTCACCACATACTGGGATCATGGGGAGGACTCTTCAGACAAGCTGAAACAAACGTTTTAATTTGAGTTTCTGTGGTTAACGAGTCTCCCAACCACACCATTGTCATCGCCAAACACCACTGTGTCTCCTCACGCCTAGTCTGCAACTTCGAACATCTTATATTACCTTCTCGGTGGAGCTAATATAACAAAATCCAGTTTCAAGATGGGTTCCTCTTCACCAATGATGCCATGCCAGTGATGTATTTACAGATTTTATTAGGAGTGGTCCATTGAGTTCACTGAGGGGAATTAGCACAATAAGAAGCTAACTTGTGGTTCTCATCACAGTGAAGGACAGAGACATTATTCAATCCTGTAGTATATACAGTATATGAATGCATAGTTTTCCTGATGTCTGTTTAGACATAGAGCATAACTGTAGCTCAACTGTCATTCATTTAAATAATCTTAGTTTAGCAATTCAATAATAAAAACACAAAGGACTGCAGTCTCTTGGGACCCAATGTAAGATCAAGAACCTTAATTCTACTTGACAGCAGTTACAGATACACAGCTTTTTATTATGAGATAATCAGGGATTTTAAAAGGAATGAACTGGTGTGTGATCAATGATATCAAGCAGAATAACTTGAACAGCCCCTTGATATACTCCGTTATCTACACCCCCACCCCCCAACCACACAAAAATACATTTTTGATCCAGAAGAAGAGAATATTTATTTCCTGTGTGCTTGGGGAAAATCGCTTTAATGGTTGCAAATAAACATAAAGCTGCCTAATTTATGACTCACTCTCCCTGAAACACGCTTGAAAGAGGATGTGCGCTTATATCAGAGCAGCAAAAACAATTTGACATCATTACATGTAGTGTGAAAGTCATTTGATAATAGAGAGCATGAAATGCCAGGCAGTTGAAAACATTTCCGGATGATTGCTGTGTTTATTTTCATTACAGCGTATGCCCTACTAACTCGCTGTGCTGTCGAGGCTCATTGAGAAACTTAGGCAATTTTCTTACTGTTTGCTATCTGATTTCAGAGAAATCAACTACTGTAGATGTAAGCACAAATGTCTGTTGGCCCAATTAAGGTCGTGGAGAACAAAAATGAAATGGAAAAACTTGATCCTGTTTTATCCACAGAGCATCTTATTATTTCATTAACACAGCATACCAAATTAATGTAGATCAATGCAAAACTTGTCTTTGTATATACAGAGATGTACATACAAAAACAAGTACCGAGAAATAGTATTTTCATGCTTTCAGTATAAACACATTTTTAGTTCAACTCACCGCTTTTGTGCACTGGACATCCTTCCCAAGAAGCCAGTTGAGCTCTAGGTTTCCTTCTCCTTGGTAGCAGGACTGCAAACGCTCCTTGATTCGTGCGTTGATGTCTCGGATGGTGAAGACACAGAGAGCCGAGTCATCTGGAGGCCGATGGAACTGCTTCTGGCCCTTAGAAAAGATGGTGAAGAGCACATCATCTTGGGCACTGATGCCAAGCGAGGCTGCAAGAATGTGGCCTGGTGTGCCAAGGTAGGCAGCCTGCAGTAGTCGGTACTCAACACCATTCTTCACACACCCAATGGGCAGGGAGACGTATGAGTGAAACTTGCGATCATCTTTACAGAGGCGAACGATGCGAGAAGTGTAAAAGAGATCGCTGCTGGATCCGCTTGATGACATGCTATTTTCTGGCGTCTCCGGCTGAACAGTCAGAAAGTAAACAAAGTTGCCGCTTGCAAAGCCATAAACATAGTAGATGTCAAAGTGGGAGACAAGTGCCAAGGTGTCTGATGGTATCTTGATGAGAGAGGACACAAAATCAGTGTGCATTTCATAGTCGAGCATGGCAGAAGATTCTGGATCACGTGGTAATTTTCGACTGGAGATGGTGGGAAAGTAGTCTTGTTTGCCATCCACTGCAGTGCCGATAAACAGGGTGCCATCTTGCCCCTGTGAAGGGACAATGACCCCATACATTGTCCCTGTCTGGTTGACACTGGAGAGGTAGTGCTCCTTCTTGTGTGAGGGCTCCACTAAGATAAAAAGGTCATCCAGTCTGAGGAGTTTACACACACCCTGGTAGAGGCTTCCACAGGCCAACAGACGATTTTGGGAATAATCAATGAGGAGAAGTTTATTGACATTGTTGGTGGAGACAAGGGGCTCGGAACATGGTTGTACAATCAGAGGGGGATAGCAGGCCTTATTGTCATCCTCTGGGCCTGTATCATGGGAAACAAGAAGGGTCAGATTGCCTGAGAGCTTGTATACACGGTTGACCGCTCCAATATACAATGCACCTGTGGTTTGATGGACTGTCAGGTGGTTAAAAACCCAGTCCCGTCGTTCAGGATGGAAACTAGTGAAAGTCTGTCCATTGCTCATGGCAGGAATTACCAAAAGCCAGATGCCTAGAAGAGCAGCTATTGCCCATATCTTGTTGTAAGGCATTAAAGTTCTGTATTTATGGTCATCCATGTTTAATGGGTCTCAAAGAAAGCTGCTGAGTAAGCAGAAAAAATGAATGAAAGGATTAAGAAAAATAATCCTTTTCTTTTCCGTGATGAAGGCTAACTTGGAGGCCAAACCTTCACAAGAGTTTTCACATGTTTCTGGAAAGAGAAAACAAGAAACAAAAAAGAAAAAGTTAGATAATTCAGCATGAATCACATTTCACACAAAGAAACTCACATGATCAAATGGAAAAGTATGTTGCCAAGTTAAGACACTACATGTTCAGCTACAGTAAAGTGTTTGACTTTGAAGAAGGATTGGGGAAAACAATTTGTGGAAACCATTATGGTGCACATTCCAAAGATGTTGCTAGACAAAGCAAGACAATGCAGGAAGGAGAGTTAGGTTACAGCAGGGGAAATTAGCCTGACCTGACTCATACTGATGCTGCTTCTGTCATACAGTGGGTAAGAGGTTTCTAAGAACAGAACAGCCAACACAAACCATAACAGACACTACCCACATTCAGCCTTGAAAACACGACTGTGACTCACTGCCTTTCAAGCCATTAAAGAATGTATCTCTGGAACGTTGTAACACCATTTAATGTTTTTTTAACTGTACATCTAGATAGCTTTAGCTGTCTTATTTTGACATAAAACTAAGTCCTAAAAGTTTTTTTAAGGGCAACTATGTATTTTTATTTATTTTTAAGACATTTCATTACTCATCCAAGGAGTTTTTTCACATCAGACTAAGAAGTGTAAAGTTTCAAACTTTTAAAATGTGGTACAATACAGTGTAAGGTGTTCAAGTTTAAATAACATACATCCATCCATCCATCCATATTTACCCACATCTTTCTTGTTAGGTTGCGGGGGTCACTGGTGCCCATGTCCAGCTGTCACTGTCTGACAGTTGGGGTACACTCTGGACAGGTGGCAAGTCCATCACATGACCACAAGACATATGAGGCAAAAAAGTATTCACACGCTCACTCACACCTAGGGACAACTTAGAGTTACCAGTCTAACATACATGTTTTTAGTCTGTTAGGGAAAACTGGAGCACCAGGAAAAAAATCCATGCTCCACAACAGAGCCGTTACTAAAAAGGTAACCTAATAACATTTTAAAAAACATATTAATAGCTGCCATATCCAAAAACAAAAGTTCCAACAAGTGTGCACTCTTTTGTCTATACTGTATAACCATCTTCCAGCTTATTGAAATCATACATTTATGATTATTCTCACATTTTTTTAAACTGACCACAACCCAAAAAACTGGTGCCCCAAAATTGTCCTCTGTTCTGTCTTTACCTGTCACTTTATCTCTTTATCTGTCACTGAAAACATAAAAGTAGAAGAAGAAGTCTGCGACTTAAGCAAACCTGCCAAGGCTTAGCTGTAGGTATCTCTTTCCATGTGCCATAAATTAAAAGCTAGAGCTCCACGTGGTCTGTCCCGAGGAGTTAATTATCTCATCCACTGGAAGAAAAGGCCTGGATCTTATTACTGGAACAAACCAAAAACAAATTGGAAACCACTTCCACCCACCCTTCCTATCACTTCTTGCCATTTAAGGGGCATAGTTTACAAACTGGAATATATTAGGGATATATTTTTTAAACATTACTGTGCTTTTTTATTCTTTTATCCTACTTGTGTTCTACGTGTGCATATAACACAGCATTTGTAGACAAATCCTTTACAGAAGAACTCACCTACAGTATGCACAGTGTGTATGTGTGTGTTATTCCCTGTGTATTATCAGTGTGCTCAATCAGAACCAAGTACTGTGATGGTCTAACGAATGGGGTAAAAGGCAGTGCATCCCAAAATCAACTATGATCAGGCGTAGTGATCCAACAAGGGTAATTACTGTGGAGCTGAGGGAGGTAAGCTGGGGAACGACATGGTGATGCCAAGGGCTCAGACGTGTCAGAGGCAGCGCTACATCATTTGTCACGCTTCGGATTTAAATTTGCCAGCAGTGAGGGCAGGGAGAATCAAGGGTGAAAGACGTGGCTGGAATAATCAGTGACTGCATGTTGAATTAACAAGCACATGCAACCTTAAGTGAGAAGGGAGGGTGAGACACTGAACATCAAGGCTACTCTGTTAAAGGCAGGTTTGATTTGTAAAGCTGATTTGGAATTCCATCTGAGCGATGTTAGCCCTTTCACAAACTTCGCTCTATCTCGAGTAATGGCCATCTTGGGGTTCCATCCCTCCCTACTTTTATCAACAGGTTTGCTGCACAGCTCTGTCTTAAATATAGACCCTAAGGAAGTGTATTGATCACTGTGCCCATAAACACACGTCTTAAGGCCCAATCAAGCTGTTCTTGGCGTGTGTATAGGCGGAGGTGTGGGAGGTGCTCTGTCCCAGAGGCATTTTATTAGCATGGTCATAAACGTGTCATTCCACTAAAAAAACTGCACCAAGAGCTAGACCCTCACTTTCTGCTGCTTGCACACTGCTACGCTCCTTTGTTTGAGTTTGTACACGCTGGATGTGTAAAGTGGATCCTGTTGGCGGTATAATAAACCTCCTGCTGAGCTAGCTTTTTGCACACAGCCTTTTGCCCTTTGGGGCTTTTGCTACACTCCCCGCCCTTTATTGTATATATGTATACAGAATTTACTCCCATCTCTTCTTCCTCCTAGTCTCTGTAAGAAATCTATGCATCACTCGGTCATGGTGTGGCAACAGCTGCAAAAGAAGGAAAAAAGAGCCTCTGACTGGTATAAATAAAAAAAGCCTCCACCAAGGTTATCCATTCATATTGCTCTCAGCAACAGAGGGACTGAAGTCTTTGTTTTAATTGATTGCTTGACCACCTCTTTGTTGCACATGACAGATTTCTCTGAGCTTTGCAGCTGTGGAGAAGATTGAAAAGAAAAGGCACTAACGCAGCACTGCCTCTTGCACCCTGCAGTTCAAAGCAACATCTTTGTTTTGTTTATTGGGACTCAGCATTAACAAAGATGGACATTAACATATAAATGCAGCTGGGAATGATTCATACCTAAACACAATTACCAGCTGACCTAAAAATAAAGAGTGGGGCACGACTGTTGAAGCAATAAATAACATCACGGTTGAGGTAAATGTTAAAGGCAACCTTTATATCACTCCAAAGCTGCGCAAGTCAGTAGATGTAAATATTTTTTCTGTTCTTTTGTTAGCTTGTTTGCTTTCTGCTTTGACTAAGTTTTAACAAGAAAAAGTTGTCTCAATGTCTTCAATGCAAAATATAACCGACTTTTAAATTAAACAGTGTGAACTAGACTACAGTGTCTGAGGACTGGAGGCAGAAAAGTGAACGGTAGCAATAAAAACTCAAGAGATTCATTCTGTCATATTAAATAGGAATTTTTAAAGTTACTGTAACATGCATTTCCTAAAAAATCAAAAAATGGAAGAAAACATCTTAATATTTAAGACATTTAGCACACATGATTTTACCCATTTTGTCACATATTCTTTTTAACTTGGCATGGCCAAAGTGAAACAGGAAGTGACATCAAATGGGAACGCCCTGGTTTTTGTTTATTGAAACATCATTTGAACCCTGGATCCTCCATCTCTGATAGTGACTCAAAATAATGAAAAAAAAAAAAACCTTCAGATTATTCTCTACCGTCTTTGTCGTTGGCCATTGTAGTAACGCCCTGTTCACATGCGGGCGTTCCCCTTTGTCATCACTTCCTGTTACTGTACGTGCAAATAGCCCAACAAGTGTTCATCTCAGTGGTGTGATTTATTCTATTTTGCAATCCGTTGTTAAAGTTATCTTTTAAAAAAGCCATTCCTATTTATTACAAACATTTAATGTCATACGCACTTTAAAGCCCATTATTCATTGTAGGAATGCACATCACCACTCCACCTTCCATGCCAGAGTTTATGTGAGATTTAGACTAAGATCATCTTGTGCTGAGAAATAAATTGTAGCTGCTTTAGTCAAACCAAGTAAACAACATTATCATGTGATATCTACCATATCAAATCTGAGCTCAATATTTGTAAAAGTGTCAGAATTAAAACAATTGTGGTTTAGGTTCATATCAGTTAGCTGTGGTAGTCATCTTAAATTTGATTAACTCCAAAAATGTACGACTTGGACATAGGGCTGGACAATATGGTCAAAACTTCACAGTTCCAGGAACTCTTCTTAAGCGCAGAGGTGACAGGGCATTCTCTGTAGCAGGACCAAGACTTTGGAACGAGTTACCTCTGTTTGTCAGACAGGCCCCCTCCCTCTCGGTTTTCAAGTCCCGTTTAAAAACTCACTACTATTCAGTAGCTTTCAACACCAGATGATCTGTGTTTTGATCCTGTACGCTCCACACTGGTTAGTCGTCATTATCTGCATCGTTTTTATGTCTACATTCTGATTTACCTCATTTTGCATTTTACTTTGTGTGTTACCTGTTGTTTTGTCTGTACAGCACTTTGGTTGACCTTGTAGCTGTTTTAAGTGCTTTATAAATAAAGTGGTATGGTATGGCCAAAACATTGACCACGATATATTTCTTAATTGCGGTCGATAACAATATAATTTCAATATCGATATTAACAACATAAAAGCCTCAGAAAAACTGTACAAAAATGTACAAATAAATTAATGTTCACCTTTTATTTGTATTTAGCCTTCAAAAATTTTGAAATCACCGTCAAATAAACATAAAACTATTAACTTTGTCAATATTAATGGTTTTAACTTTAAACAACAACATAACTCTAACCCACGTTTGCTGCACGTGTTTCTCTTTTGATAGAGCTGGGGGTGTTGTTTCAGGGACACGTTGGCTCAAACTTTATTGTGCTTCATCTTGTGACTCTCAGCATCTTCTATATCAAGTGGAACAAGTTAGATCTGTTCCCGGCGCTAGTTGGAACGACTCTGTCACATTTTGCAGCACACTGACTGAAACTAGAAAGCGGAACCACTTCCACACCACCAAATTAGTCCTTCCTCTCTTATCAGTGATGTCATCTGCTTTCTCTTCGCTTG